TCAGTCAGTCAGTCAGTCAGTCGATCAGTCAGTCAGTCTGTCAGTCAGTAGCACCAGACAAACTAGTTTGGACTTCACACTGTTTCGTTTTTATCTTTATATATTGACCAATCGCATAACATGGTTTCGTAATCTCAGAAAACAGCTTGAGATCCAGTACAAATTACAGGCGTATGATTAGAGAATTACTAATAAATTTAAGTAAATCCAAATTAAGCTGTGCTACTCATTAAGCTGTGCATGCAGTCATTGTTAATGATCAGGAGGAGAATTGTTCCAAAGCCTGGCAAAGTTCTTTGATATGAGTGTCCGTTTGTTTTGTTGGCCTTGGCCGCGCATAAAATACAATAAAAACTTGGTTATTTTTAAAATTAAGAGGGACAAGAGTTGGTCATATGCGGACGTGAATAAATATAAGGGAAGGTAGCGCAATATATACAGCTGTTTTGAGAAAGTTTGTCCTACAAAAGCGTAAAAGCGTGCGCGACAATATCGAAAGGTATAATGGGTAATTGTGGTTCAAGTTTGCTTGATGGAAGCTCAAAGCGTTTCAGTGTGATAGAAGGAAACAACACAGCACGTGTATTCATGCTTTCTCCTTCATTCTTGCTGAAACACCTTGAACCTCGATCGAGCAACGCCGAGGTATTACTACCCACAAATCGGTATTGTCGCGTTCGCTTTTACGCTTTTGTGAAACAACCGTTGTTGAAACTGCTTTCCAATCGGTATTGTCGCGTTCGCTTTTAATTTACGCTTTTGTGTAACAACCATTGTCAAAACTGCTGTATATTCCAACGCCCCGCTAATGAAGCAGCCCAGAAACGATTACTTAACTCATGATAACTAAATTTATACTCGTGTAAGGCCGCTGAAAACCATTTTGAGTGAGAAGTCTGATATATTTTGTGTTGATATAGCTACAGTCTGCGGTATATTATGGACTTCACAAGAACATCAGATAAGAAGTTAACAGTGACAGAACTACCGTGCGAGAAGCAGCTACCAAGAACGAGTTACTCTCCACTGGAGTTGTGCGCTCAGGACAATCTGACTTTGGCTGAGGTTGGGGATGGGTGATCTCTGGAACCGGTAATGTATAGTTAGTAAATCTTTCCTGCAGGAGAGGAGAATAAAAACATCAACAACATCAACAACAACAGCAAAGAGACAATCAAACCACAAACAAACAAATACAAAAACAAAAAAACGTGTTTTGAAAGGAACTCAGTTTTTTCCCAGTACAACAGCGAAATTTGAGCTCAAAAGCTAAACAATCGACTTACGAACAAGAAAAAACAATTCAAAGTTCAAATACGCGCAAACTGAGCGTCTATGGCACCTAATACAAAGACGATGTTAGGAGAAAATAAACTTATAAAAAAAAACGCTCACGTTCACTAGAATACGCAGAATTTGGTCATTTCACGTTTTTGTTTTGTGGAGAACGGCAACGAAATGTACCAAGAATTATAATGCGAGTGCACAGCCATTGTTCTGCTCATTATAACTTTTGTTTGGTGACGTTGCAACCTTTCATTTATTTAGACTGCCCAAGCACGTTTCATTGCGCGCGCTCGTGTTTTGAAGGTTTAGTTTTGACTCGTTGTTTCATTTACGTCAGTAACATTGAATAAGGGACAAGCCCGAAAATATTGGATCCATCTTTATTTTTTAGCACTTTTTATTTTCCTTGATAGTCGATATGTAGTCGGTAATACATTACCATCAGCTAAAAAGACGAATTCAACAACTGGGCCAGGTATTCTGGCTAGAAGATTGTGTAACAAGGGACTACCATTTCATGCGAAGAAAGGATGTGCATTTTGCAGGCCGTATACTAACCAAGAGACAAGTTGAAATGAATGATTTAGCCTGATTGTATCCTCTCCTTAAGTCTGCCACCATTTCATTTGTCCATTTAACATTCCTGCCAATCAGGGGATTAGACCACTCCGATGTCAAATTTAAGGATGGACTGGAATAAGAAAAGGCCAATGACTTAGTATGCATCAACAGCATATGTATATATTGAATATATTTATAAAATAATATAATTTATTTGAAATGTCGTAAAATCCTGGTAAGTTATAGGCTTCTCTTCCTTGACCTACAGGCAACTTACCAACGTTAAAAATATACTGGTTGAAAGCTTCCAGTAAGTGAAACCTCTACTTCACTCCTTTCCTGACCGTCTAACCCTTCGTCTCTCCCTTCCTCCCAGTCCAGGCCTATCTTATTGACTGAAATACTCGGTTTAGAGACCAGCTTGGTGTTGTTTAGTGTAGAGATCAGTAAATTGACGACAAAATGCAAAGTTACCCTTAGCTTGATTTCTAAAATCCCAGTACATATACCCGGAAATACACTAATGAGACTTCGTAAGTCCGGAAAAAAGTGATATAGCCAGCAGCAAAACAATTACCCAACCAAGCAACCGCCTGATTGACACACCGACCGACCAACCGACCGGCTGACCAGTCGACCGACGGACTGAGCGACCGACTGGTCGACTGAGCGATCGACCGACCGGTCGACTGACCGATCAACTGACCGACCGACTGACCGATCGACTGACTGACTGATTGGTGGAAATAAGGTTGGAATCTTAACCCCAAAGGTTCTAAGCTCTACCATATTTTCAGATAATAATAACGCATACGCTCTTGGTTCATTATCTAATTGACAATATTTACTTACAAGTGCTTCTCAATAAAGTCGTGCACTGGTTTGGTTTGAACACTGTTGCAATATGATGTGGCATTCACCATTCGCGGATAGTAAAATAAATAATTAAGACACATCTCTTGAGATGTAGAAATACCACCCTACAAGTAAAAAAGTTGAGAGTCGAGCTCATTAATTCACTACAGCGCTTGAAGTAGTAATACGTGCTGATTAACGGTTCATACATGTACTCGTAGTTTGTATCAGACTCAGGGGCTTAGCTAGGGGGGGGGGTCCTGGGGTGCCCGTGACCCCCCTTTTGTAAGCATTTTTTTAAGCAAACCGAACTAAAACAAGTGGCAAAAACGACATGAAAATCTGGTGAGTACCCTAACTTTGACACAGTGTGACCCCCCCNGTGGAAATAAGGTTGGAATCTTAACCCCAAAGGTTCTAAGCTCTACCATATTTTCAGATAATAATAACGCATACGCTCTTGGTTCATTATCTAATTGACAATATTTACTTACAAGTGCTTCTCAATAAAGTCGTGCACTGGTTTGGTTTGAACACTGTTGCAATATGATGTGGCATTCACCATTCGCGGATAGTAAAATAAATAATTAAGACACATCTCTTGAGATGTAGAAATACCACCCTACAAGTAAAAAAATTGAGAGTCGAGCTCATTAATTCACTACAGCGCTTGAAGTAGTAATACGCGCTGATTAACGGTTCATACATGTACTCGTAGTTTGTATCAGACTCAGGGGCTTAGCTACGGGGGGGGGGTCCTGGGGTGCCCGTGACCCCCCTTTTGTAAGCATTTTTTTTAAGCAAACCGACCTAAAACAAGTGGCAAAAACGACATGAAAATCTGGTGAGTACCCTAACTTTGACACAGTGTGACCCCCCYCCCCTTTGAAAAATCCTGGCTACGCCCCTGAATCCATTTTGATGTGTTCAATGCAGCTTGCTGAACATTTGTACTGACCATAACGCCAACTGCACTGTTGTTGATGGCATTCGGTAACAGATGGAATACACATATGATGATCATTTTCACATTGTTTATATTGCATCTATGAATATCAGTGCCATTTTTAATGGAATGAAGATCAGTGCCATTTACGTCAAGATACACGCAAACAAACAAAAAAAGACTCCTGTAATTAATCTTAGTAAGGGTACTAACCCGCACAAATTTTTCACGATCCATAGTCTCGTATTTGCAGTAGTGTATAAGGTCATCTCCCTGGGTACAGGAAACAAAAAAACGATAAACAACAACAAAAAAAGATCTCAGCGAGAGACACGAAACCACCTCCCCCACCAAAAAAAAAGAACTACATCGCCCTTTTAATCAAAAGCCAATTTCGTAACAGCAAGCAACAATTGAATGTCTATCAACTTGTTTCATTGAGTTTCCCTGTTTATATGTCAATCAGCTGTAAGGCCATTTCCGAGTTGCTTTTTGCCTCTGTGTCAAAACGAGTCTTCGCGGGAAGCCGTCTATATAAAGATGTGTTCCATCTACAGATTCATTTTCATGCAAATCAAACCCATTTTCATATGAAAGGTTTTGCTCGAGGACTCGTTTTGAGGCACAAAACTTGGCCTATTAGTTGCTGTGCAAAGATATTTTCAGATTTCGGAACCCGTTTTATACCATAACTTGTTTCCTTGGGGCTCCTTGCTTAGTGCTTTCTCGCTGCTCGTAAAATACAGCATTAGAGGCATTTACAAAAATCTTTGTGATAACGAGTAGTTATTAAACATCGCGAATATATTAATGCAATTTCTCAAGGTAAATTTCAGGCTATGTTATAAATAGCCGCTTACTAGCTTGAGCACTAACCGGTTTAATATGANGGGAAAATTTACGGGTGCTTCGAGAAACGCTATTTCGGGCCCGGTATTTACGGGAGCTTTCGAGAAACAGGCCCCAGGATCATTTGCGGTTCAATTTGGGGATCATTTGCGGTCCTGGGATCATTTACGGACCCGTACAACACTGCAATAATCACCTGGAAATTAAAGTCGTAATTGTCATCTCGCGCAATTTCTGGTAATTCAACTCCGTCACGGACATGTTTGGTCCATGTTGCTCGACCTGAGTAATGGATCGCTGGATTAGAACATGCCTGAATATAAGGTGAAATAATACTGATAAAAAACACAAGCTAATGTTTTATACGTAAATTAAAATTAGGATAAATAACGCTTTCTGTAATTTGTGTACATATTCCAGCTAATGTTTTGACGAATTGCTGACTCGCATTCGACTGCTGGTGATGCACTTTTTAAAGCGTCCAGGATAGAGCGGTTTTCGATTGAGTGTCGTAAAACCAAAACCAAAACAATTTCTTACCAGTTAGACTTCTCAGCCAATCTCAAACGGGTAGGTGGTAGCCCCCGCGGGGGGTACTTCCAGAAAAGTTAGGTGGGGTTGTGCGGCCCACTTCCCGAAACCCTTATCCTATTTATGACCAAAATCTGCGATTTCTGCTACTCTATATATGATCTGGCTAAAAATTTGATACCCTATTCATGACCGTTGTGGCTCGCATAGTTGCCCTAAACATAAGTTATGAAAGACTTTTGTTGACGGTCTTATTGATGAAAAAGTAGCTTCTTCCGAGAAACATAACCAATTCAAGACTAGAGTGCTAAAACCATGCCCAATCTATAACCAAAATAGCTAACGATACCCTCTTTATGACCAAAACGGCTGAAAAACCCTACCCTTTGGGGTTGCACTTACCTATATAGCTCATATAAGGGAGTACTCCCCCCGTGGATAAACCAAAACCACAACCAAAGTAATTGCCTGATTACTTTCGACACTCAATCAGTAAAACCGCTCTGTTCAATGATTAAAATTAAGAAAACAATAATATTAACAGAACAATTCTTACACAAACCTTGCAGGTGGGTGTGAAGTAATGCGGCGAAAACTTTTATGCCTTTTTCTGGCAGTTTTGTGGAATTTAAGTTTTGCTGGCAAAAGTAAATGAGACAATGATTACATAAGAGATGTCACAAACAATTGCAAACAAACAAGGAGACAGATGAGGTGTTATCAGAACTTCGTGAAGATGAAGATTCCAAATGTTAGAAACGCAGACGAAATTATTTAACTTTCGACGTTTAAAAGCCTATTTTATTCGAGTCCAAATGTTTTAATTAAAAGGCCTTCAGTTTTCGGAATCAGCGTCTTTTAAGGACCTTTAAGGGATACTGCCGCAGTGATTTTCCTGCATCTTTATTTGGTCAAAGCAGTGTATGAAAGAGTACCTTTGTACTTGCACAAAATTCTCCAGAACACCGAGGTTAAGATATTAGAAAGATTAATAATGACGTTTATGACCAACGGTGAACGGCCACCCATTTTTACCCTTTAGTGAGAATGTCAGTTGTATTTTTCTTACAATCTTAATATGTACGGGAATGAGAGTGCAAATTGTAGTTAGTTTCAAGTGATTTTTTCTATTACACAAAGATAGTATTTAAAAACTTCTGCCAGACGTTTTCAATTCATTTCACCTCCTTGTACATGTTTAAACGGTTATTACAATCTTTTTATAGCTTTAATTTGTACACTTATATTGAATGTATGTTTTTTTTAATTAGACCTTTACATTTAGGTTCAATCAATAAAATGTCTTTTAGGCTTCTACTTTTCGAAGTCATTCTCATCAGTTCAGAGCCCCGTTATAATCTATAATAGTTTGTGCAAGGTACACGGATTACATTGGATGTCGAAGACATTCAAGACCACGCAGACCTTACCTTGTAGCATTCTTTGGAGCAATAACCGACAGTCATCCATGATTCTTGTTTTGGCGGGATAATCATGAATGGACTGACACTTTCTCCAACAGCAAATATACCAGCATCGTACTCTCGGAGATTTGAAGTGTAGTAAAAACGCACACCAGAGCTATCGTTGTGTCCTGCGTAAACAAACCATACACATCTAAGTGAAGAAGAGAAATGGTTACATAACTAAGAAAAATGTGGCTCCCTAATGGCACATGCAAATAAATGGAGGGATCACCGTGATGGAAAGAAATAAGTATCAATATCATTATAAGCAGCAGCAAATCATTATGTACAACAGTTCTGACCTTCAACGCCATCCGGGTTGTCATAGTGCAGCTCGAGCATGTAGCTGCTCGGAGAATCCGCAGTTCCAATTGGATAACCAGCTTTTGGCGGGTAATAAAATGCCTGGATAGTGACACAATAACAAATGAAACAGAAAGAACAAAAACAACGAGAAAAGAAAGAAGCGAAGTTGCGAAGAAAAAAGGACGAAAAATCGGAAAGAAAGAAAGAGGAAACAAAACGTTCGCCATTTTATTCAAAATAGTTTTCAGTGCCAACCCAATGGCGCGTACCTCACCGCCAACTGCCCACGCAGCCACAACACTGGAATGATAACACTGTGTCAAAGGCATGTTGGCAGTGTTGTGGCAATCAAAACCAGAACCGTAAAGACTCTGGTTAAATTTTCCATGGCATTCGTAGATGAGTAAGTGATGAACCAAGCCTTCATTTCCCTCTTGCACATATGGCTCGAACTGTAAAGAAAATTATTAAAGGCTGTCATAGGTTCAGTAGTACAAGGACCACATGAAAAATATAGCAACAAAAATTACCAAACATGATAACAAATGATAAACTGAACGTAAAAACAAACAAGCAAACAATGAAAACGATCCAAGTAGATATTGCTGTATTGAGTGATAATGCTCTGTTTTTTAGTTGCATTTGAATGTAACTTTACATGGAGGAGGCGCGGTGGACTCATTCATGGTTAGTGCGCTCGTCTCCGGATTGAGTGGTCCGGTCCGGGTTCGAGCCCTGACCGGGGACATTGTGTTGAATTCTTTGCCAAGAAACTTTATTCTCACAGTGCCTCTCTTCACCCAAGTGTATAGATGGGTACCGGCGAATTTAATGCTGGGGGTAACCCTGCGATTGACTAGCATCCCATCCAGGGGGGAGTAGACATACTCCTAGCCGCTTCATGCTACAGAAACTGGGATAGGCTCCGGCTATGGTTCGTATGCGGACTTTACCGTACCCTTTACCTGATATTATGATATAGATTTCTTTGCTTGCGATCTAAATTGTAAGATTAAGTATTCGTCGACATCAGCAAATTAACACCTAAAAAAGGCTTTGATCGCGGTCTCCGTAATTAATAACACCTACCTTTGTTATGTGATGTTTTGTGTTGATTTCTGGAGCCTTGATAAGAGAACACCAGTAGGTTGTTTGTTTCTTTGGTATTGTTACCTGTTAGATAATTAGAAAAGTATGTAGTTTTAAGTGCACAAATTAATCAATACATTATAACGATGATAATGATGATGATGATCATTATTATCACTACAGTTTTAATAATTAGCTCTTATTAACCGAGCAGGAGGTCCGCATGGGAGAATCTTGACCGAGGTCGGGAGTACAAACTGAGCGCAGTGAGGTCTGTACACACGACCGAGGTCAAGATTCTCACATACAGACCGACTAAGCTCGGTTAATAAATCACTTAATTAGAGAAGCCTCGATATAGTGTTCATTACACTATAAGTTAAATTAACTCATATCTGAATAATTGACTGTTCAGTTGACAGTACCAGGTTGTAATTAAATTTGTAAGCTATAAATTGCTAGCCGGGTTTAAATCTCGAGGAAGCGTCGACACTCCGTGATGATTTTTCAAAGAAACTATTTATTAACTAAAAGACTGAATGTCAAGGTGGAGATGAGATGTCCGAAGCTAAAATCAATCTATTGCTTTCGTTCGGACCATGCCACCTTAAAATCACAAGTTGTGATCACAAGTTCCTCTTAGAATTAATCCGTCCAAGGAGACATTTGGCATAGGAGAAAAAGCCTTTATGTTGGAACTAGATTGCTTTGTATGAAACCTCAACATTTTTTGCTAGAGAATAAGTACCTCTTGTGTAAAACGTTTCAAAGGTCTCGATGAATTTATAGCGTTTTTTGCTCTCCAAGAAGAAAAGTCGAAAAAGAAGCAGATAGTTGTAGGGTAGAGTATAGATAACATGGCAGAAGGCTCCTATTGTTCCATAATGTTATCAAACGCCAAATTAAGGACGTTCGGGGTAATTGTTTCTGCGCATCCTTTTTGCGCACGCAAAATCACACGTCACGTCATGCATCGATGCACGCGCTAAGTAATAAAATGAACAATGATAGGGCAGATGGCCATTGCTATAGCTTTGCCTGGATTTAACGACCTTGGACGTTCGGTGACCCTATTTTTCTTTTGATGGATCATTTTCTCTACCGATTTTCTACGTTTAGCGAAAAAATGAAGAAATCCATCTACTAGAAGTTTGAATTTTTTGCAAAATGCACCATCGAATTCCGTTCTTTTTAGCTCTTCGTTTATCTGTGCGGCGGTTTCAAACGCCTCTCGAAGGGTTAAGTTTTGTGAAAACGTTGGCGACATTTGCGATTATTAACGCAAGGGATTCACTTATACAAAATATTACTAGGATAGTTTGTCTCCGTTAATTCAACTTTGATATTTTAAGCTAAAAACCCTGGAGACCATGCTGATTTACGCGCACCAATTTTTCAAAAGCAGACTAGTTTTCCACACGCTTTATCTCTGAGACGAAGTCCGTGACCCCCAATTTTTTTTCATTTCTGAAACAAGTAATTTATTATCTGACCGCAGTAAAAGTTTGAAAAACATCTATCGAGTAGAACATTTTCGAGCGAACGCCCTTTATTGTGCAGATTATAAAGCTTGCGTGTTCTCACCCCACGATCATCTTGTGTGAGAACAATAGCACTTAATTCAGTCTTGATTCTTGTTGTGTATTCGTATAGTCTTAATAAAACTCTAAATAAAGAATCATTCCACAAGAACAATAAAATTTTCCATATATTATACCACACATAAACTGTAAACTAGCATTTTGGCAGGTTAATGGTTTTGACCAAGAGATTATCCATTGACCCAAAGGGGTAATCTTGAGTCCATTCTTGCGATGGTAGTTTTTCAGTATGTGGGTGGGAAGGCTAATGGGTGACCATATGGTGTAAGTTGTTTTTCTTGGGTTGTACAAGGTAGTTTTGTGTTAGAGTCTCCCGATAAAATGATAGGTTTAAAGGAAAAATATAGGGAAGTTCTTGATGTGTGACCGTTCAATTTTCTGCATTTTGCCAAAACATTCTGTTGAGTTTCAAAAATTAACGCAGTGGCGCTCGATAAAGCAATTTTATTCAGGCACGCTGACAAACAGAATTACTGCATGTTTTTTTTTTTTAATTCTTTTATAATCCTTTATTAGAATCAAAAAAGTGATTTTTAAATGGAAATATTTCATATAGACGTTTTCTATCCAGCCTTCGTTTGGCTGCCAGGTTAGTTAAGGTTACTCTGCATACAGACATTTCTTCATTAATATCACTCATTTAAACAACTACAGTATTGCCCGATCGCATCTTTCACAGCTTTCCTCACTTCCCTGATTCGCCAGCAATACAGAACAGGGTTGACCGATGAATTGAAGAAGATTAAAGTCGCAGAGAAGCCCTCGGCGACTAGAAAGGATTCGCCAGTAATTGCTCTTAGTCCTGAAACTATGCTGTACGGGAGATAACACGCTAACAATGTGAAGTGAACCCACAGTGCGTTTGAAACTGTTTTTTTGTATTGTTCGATATTGCGCGAAGACCTTCCATTGGGCTTTCGATGAGAGCCGATAGCTCGAACTTTTATTTGTTGCAGACGAAGGATATGGTAAATTTTGGCGTAGCAAAAGGTGGACGTTAACACGCAAAGAAAGATTGCTGTGATACACACTATATAGAAAACAAATTTGTTCCGCGAAAGAAGCGCAACTCCATTGACAACATTTAACACCCAGCTGACAAGCACGAAAGCACGAACTCGGCCAGTAGTTACAGTTTGTCTGTATCGTACTCCAAGCGACAGAGCTAGCAATCTATCGATGCTGATAAAGGTTAGAACAAAGAGCGACACCCCGCTTAAAACTGCACTGGTTACATAGCTTGATACAGAGGTGAACAGATAGATGCCCAATTGTCCAGTCAGAATAGCAATGGCGTGAAGAGCAGCTAACGGCTGCGAAATGAGACCAACACAGAGATCGGTGATCGCCAGAGAACGAAGTAAGAATCTTGATGGCGGATAAATAGAAGACTTCTTTCGAAGAGCGAAGACTATCAAAATGTTCCCCAGGGTTGTGGTAATGACAAATAAAGTATTCAAGAACGACAGAGCAATGAACGAGATTGAAACGTAATCCAAGCTTTTCTTTTCAAAAAAACTCGGTGTAGTTGCTTCATCTTCATCATTTACCATTTCCAAAACTGCCGTTAGCCTGTGTAAGGTTTCAAATTTGAAAGCCTTAACGGTTCTCTGGGTTCTTAAAATAACTTTGAACACTTTGTCGTGATAGTCGCATTGGTTTTACACTTGCTCCTTCAAACAGGTTCTTGATAACCAAATTTCAAGCCTCCTGTGAAATTTTAAATGACAGATTTTTGTTAGAGTTGGCACTTGTCAGTTTGGACGGAACGTTAGATTAGCATTTGGCATTCTCTCGGTTATGAGTTCCTTCTGCGTGGCAAAGAAACAAAACTCTCATTAAACATTTGGGTCGTATGTCAGCCCGTACAAGCTTATTACAGGAACTATTCGCGACATCAAAGTTCTGCGAAAAACACTAAGATTTGAAAACGTAAAATGAAAAAACTCGGAAAATTAAATTAGATTTTAAAATTATAGTTGCTTAATAAACTTTATTGGGCAATTAAGTCGGTTTAATCCCAAACGATAAGTTTATTATTCTCAGATGATCATTAAGCTCTTTCTCCTCGATGGCAATATAGCCATGTCAGCCATTGCCGGCGAGTTGCTGGGATTCATCAATATTTTCAACTTGCGTGCTATCCAGGCAGTCAAAAGGAAAACTTGATCTTTTTTATCTCGCCAGGAAACTTCAATCTGTGAGATACCTGAATCGCAATAAATACTGAAATAAATAATATAAATAAATACCGTCAAGTATAACCGCTTCGAAAAAATAGACCTAAAACTCAATGAAAAGCAGCAGTTTTGTATCGCCATATCGACCCTAAATTTCCTGCAGTTACCGTCATTTTGCATTTTGATATAAAGCAATTTCTTAGTTAAAGCTTGGCAGTTCCATTTATCATTTGTCAGTTAATTTAATTTTCAATAAAATCTGGGGAGTTTTATATCAGCTGTCAGTTAGTATAAGCGTTGTTTGGGTGAGGAACTCATTTTTCAGTCTAATATTTTGATGTCAAAATGCATTGTGAGGCTGAAGTAATTCGTCACGGTTTAATCTTGTGTATCGCGGGATTTTCAGAAAGTTGCAATAGATTCGCTGGTGCGGTAACTTTGAATTTTGACAATACCAAGAATTGCAACTCCATAGAATTTATTTTGATTCGGTTGTCCATTTTAAGGGTTGTGACAGCGTACTATTGTATATAAGAATATTTCCAGTATTAGTAATAACTGCACGAGAACGGAATAATATCTCAACATGTGGATTTTGTAATATTTATAAAACTAAGAGATAATCTCTTGATAAAACTGTCAGACTTGTTCTGAGGACTCAGGCAAAATGAAATTCATGGCAGAATTGAATTCTATCACGATGTTCACGCTAAAATTTTCAATTAAAACTGGGCAATAAATGTTATGAGAAGGAACTGTTCAGTTATAAAATCTAGTAAAGTGTGCTCTTGTTTGACGGTTGAACGCAAAATTTTAACCAAATTTATGGCCTCTTCTAGTCTAGATACACGGCAGATAAGAATGTTTTTCACTCGTTCGGTTTTCCAGAAACGCACTCTTGACAGACGTCAAGTTGTGACGTCACGAGGTTGGGGCACGGTAACGACAACACATGCACGTTTTGCTACATACATAATCAACGCTTGCGCAAGTCGAGAGGCGCAATCCGAGCTCGGCACGAGAAAAGTCATTTTCACGCCCCTCAAAACCCGAGTGTGGATCGAGGGCGCGAGTAGGGGAAGACCTAAGGACTATCCGCCACGGGAAAGGCCAGGGAAGCTGAATGGAAAATCTGTTGCTAGGTAACATGACGTCGTTATGACGTTAAGGTGTCACGGAGAAACATGAGTTTTGTTATGCTATCACTTGTTTGTAATAAAGAATGAACAAAGAGAAATCTGCGGAGGAGTTTTAAATTACTATTTACCTTGTTATGTAGTTTACACGACAGGTGTATTTAACCAGAAAAAATCTCACGAACTATATGCAGAAAGTCACGTATTCTTTTGAATTTCTCTTTTATCTCAGCGGACCCGCGCATTTCTTGTTTACAGTTAAACTAGTAGAGTGCCCCATCAGGCACAGTTTGGCAGACAGCCAGCTTTCCCAAACTTGGGAGATAATTTTTTTCCCCTACATCTTGCGTTAGGCAAGCACTATTATCCAATAAAGCAAATGGTTCGTTCACATTAACGTACAATTTAGTGTAATATTAAACAAACAAATGCTCTCGCTAAAGTAAATTTTATGTCATTTTTGCAACGAATGTTTGTCAGAGTAGACTTGAAACAAAGAAACCTACCTCCTTTAAAGGAAACATTTATTTTATTTTTTTAAATTTACATTCAAGAAAACAGCTTGATCACGCTTAACGGACTCCAGAGTATTCCCCTTAAAGAAAATGAACGCTGACAACTTAAAAACTCTGCCAACATCGTTTGAAGACATCAATTCAAGCCTAGAGTATATTTATAACTCCTTTATCACTCTATCGAGTTTAAATGTTTTCTTAGCCATCACTGCGACTCTAGGAAATACTTTGATTTTCCTCGTTCTTGGAAAGAACTGTGGTCTTCATGCACCGTCGAGGCTATTAATCCGCTCTCTGGCGTTTACAGACCTCTTTGTTGGTCTCATTTCTCAGCCATTAGCTGCTCTTCACGCCATTTCTATTCTGACTAAACATTTGGCGATATTTCGATTCACGTTGTTATCGAGTTATAGCACAAGTGCAATTTTAAGCGGAGTGTCTCTCTTCACTCTAACCTTCCTAAGCATCGATAGATTGCTAGCTCTGTCGCTTGGAGTACGATACAGAGAAACAGTGACCATTGGGCGAGTCCGCGCTTCTGTGATTTTTGGTTGGGTGTTCAATATCACGAACGGATTGCTAAGCTTTCTGCCGGAAAATAGATTTGTCTTCAACATTGTTTGTGTGGCGAGCATTTCTCTTTGCGTGGTAATATCGTCCATATGTTACATCAAAATCTACTATATTCTCCATCAACAACAAAGTAAAGTTCACGCCAGTTCTTCTCATGCACAACCAAATGAAAGCTCTCCGCTGCACTTCGAACGATACAAGAAAACAGTTTCAAGTGCGCTGTGGGTTTACTTCACATTGTTAGCGTGTTATCTACCGTTTGGTGTAGTTTCGGGGCTGAAGGCCATAACTGGAGACACTCTCCCAGTCGCCGAGGGATTCACTGCGACTTTAATCTTCTTCAATTCATCGGTGAACCCTGTTCTTTATTGTTGGCGAATCAGGGAAGTGAGAAAAGCTGTGAAAGAAACCATCAGGCAATACTGTGGTTTTTCAAGTGGAGCCCGGAGTGATAGAGTGGTAAAAGTTAAGAAACGCAAAGTTAATCTTGACAGCCTTGTAACTGATGTCGCAAGGCAATATGCTGGCGATCGAAACGTCGACACTCCAAGTTCATGGACGAAAGGGGACTAACGTCTTGGCGGAAAATCTTTTCTAAAATCTTCAATCATTCTTTAGACACGATAAAAATTCATAAGAGCCGCCGCTCAACGTGTGAGGGTGGCCTTAGGTGGTTTAATTTGCTTCGTTTAACGTTGAGTCAATAACCAACTAAGTGTTAACTGAGGCGGCGTCCACATTACGTTGGAGATATTTGAAAACGCAGCTTTATTTCTACGGTTAGGCCTACCGTCCACACTGATCCGTCTCGAAAACGGAGCTTTTCAAAAACATTCTTCAAACAGTACAGGAAGAACTTGAAAACGCCGGATTTCCGGTTTAGTGTGGATGGAAAACAGTTTGAAAACAGAGCTTTTCGAGAACATAATCATGTAATTTCCCCGACCGAGGTTTCTTCAAACAGAACTGGCTAAAATGACTGGTGATTGCTGCGTTTCTAAATTTCTCTGGCGTAGTGTGGACGGAAAACCTTTGATGCGTTATATATATCAGTCTGGTTTGAGTTTGTTGTTAGTTCCCTCCCTTGCTCTAATGGTTTTCTTCATGTCGTTACTTCAATCCTAAGCTCGGTTTATTGTTTCTTTAAAAACTTGCTAGAGCGCTTTTTAACAGTTGGGTTCCCTACGGCCTCCCATATAAAGCCAAGCGGCCGAATTAGACGTCGAGGGAAACAATGGCCAGGACTGCTCACGGATGTTTTTTTTGTTCTTGAGTGTGAACGGCAATCCTACCAAAATAATATAAGAATTTTCGAAGAGACAGACACTTAGATTGAAATTTCGCCGCCTTCAGTGCCAAGAGGTCTTTATTTTGTTTGTTGATTGTTGCACAGTGAATCGCCAGTTTTTCCGGCAGTTCTTTGTAGATTTTGACTGTTGATAATAAATATGTTTGAGACCGAGAATTTGCGACTTTACTGCATATTGTTCCTCCCTTCCCAAATTAAAAATGTTGGATGAGGTTGAGGAAAATATCGTAATTTGTCAGTGGCAGGCAAAACATTAATTTGCCTAGCTGAGCCAAAGTCTGAGGCAAATAATTGATATTCGACATACTGACAAATCACAATATTTTGCGATAACCGAGTACAATAATTGCTTTATCATTCGACCACCATGACCAAGTTTGTTTTCATGTTTAAATCGCTCTCTGACAACTCAGGGAAGCGAACTGTCGATTTTTATGCAATTGCGCATGAGCAGAATATTACTTGCAGCAAAACACATTTAGACGGTATCACGCATGAGCAGACCATTATTTGTAGGTAGTTCTTTTGTTGGCTCTCGGCCAATAAAAAGGAAGGAAAAAATGCATTGCATGATATCAAACTTTTCTAAACCCCATTCGATGTGGAAACAGAGGACGAAAAGCCCCTCTGTGAAGGTTTCACCGCTGAAATCAAATTTATTTATATTTTTGTATTTTTGTTACGCAGAGATAGAGAGAAATCTTTTTCCTTGATCGAAATCATGTTGCTATACAATATGAAATGTCATTATGACGTCAGTACCCACTAGGAAGAAAGCAAGCGTACGACTGGGAAGGGTCAAAGCCCACTAATTTGAACCTCATGCCACATTTTGGCGTTAATAAATTGATTGATTGGTTGTTTGAACAGTTTCAAGAAGCGAATATGTTATTACTGTTAGGACTATGGGCCTCTGGAACAATTTATAACCATCTCTATTAAACGCAAGTTGTTCGGTCGAAGTTTTTAAACGTCGTTTGAAGAATAAGCTTTTGGACAATTGCTTAAACTCTTGTTAAAGTTGTGTTTTTTTTTTTTTTTTACTTAATTGCACTGTGATTACTACTGTTTCTTTTTGTTCCTGAAAAGCCCTGTTGGAGAGGTTACAATAAAGTACGTATGTAGGTCAGCTTGCTAGCGCTTGTAAGCGCTTGCAAGCGCTTGACAATCAGTTTGGGTATCTGTCGGCTGTTTTTACGACGGCTTTCGAGAATGTGGTTTCTTGAACATGATTAAAAGCAAAAAGACTTACGAACTATTTTTTTTAGTATATATTACTTAAATCTACATTCTAGTTTCAATATATTAAAAAATGGTAGTTACAATAATAATAACAATAGAAAACAAATTCCTGCTTTCCATGAATGTTGTGTGTTTATTCACAAATGTTAAAGAAGTCGCCGCGCAGCCGAATTTAAACTAGCGAGAGTTTGTTCTTGCTGGAGTTTGACAGGTCAGCTACTCCACACCAGTTCCGCACCACACCAGTACAACTAAAACAGTTTTTAAAAATTTTTACAAAGTTGGTGCGGGGCAGTGGAACAGCAAGTTTGCTCTCACAATCTCTTAGTGAATAAGAAGACATTTCTCCGAGCTTTGATTTTGATCACAGATATTCACGGGCAAGACCATTTAGTGATGTTTACAATTTCCGTTGAACATCTAGTTTTTCAGCTAAATCTTATAAAGGGATCATCTTCACATTTGGCATCAGAAAAAGCAGAAGTTAAGATCTGCGGGGCGCGATTTTGTTGTTTATGTCGATTGGCAGACACCACCACAACAATCGAAATGGGGCTGGAAAGCGTTATAAATATAATACATTTTGAACGGAACAAATGAACTGCTTCGCTTCAAGATGCCTGTGCCGGAGGCAATCGTTTTGGAAATGGCATCGATATCTGCGTCATAAATTAAATTTTCATGTACATGCACACCAAAAGATTGCGTAAATTCACTGACTTGGATCAACTTGCGTAATGGAGTGTCAATCTGAGGAAATTATTACTCTCTGAATTTCAAATACAAAACACCCTCGTAAACACTACAATAGAACAATGTAGTGTCAGATTGGACGAATGTCTGTCACCTTAATGTCATAGAAGTACATTGTGTTCAGCAGCTGAATCAAAGTAAGAAAAAATTCTTGTTTTTTAATTACGTGTATAGTACAACAAAGTTTTCCTGCGCCACCTCCTGACGTCACAACATGAGATTCATTCAAAGCAACTCCTCGGACAAAATAAATGAAAAAATTATAAAAAAACCCCTCTAACTGGCTGTAAGTTAATGGTCTTTATACTAAGTTGAATCACCCTGTGTTGGATTTGGACAACTGACGTGTGAGTTCAACGAGTGTTGAACTTATGGTTGTCCGTCCTAAGGCTTGAATCAGGCTATCAGGATTAACACGCCGTTTCTTCGGTTATCTCACTTTGGGCTCCAATTGAAAAACCGCAGTATTGCCTGATGGTTTCTTTCACAGCTTGTCTCACTTCCCTGATTCGCCAACAATACAGAACAGGGTTCACCGATGAATTGAAGAAGACTAAGGTTGCCGTGAACCCCTCGGCGACTGCAAAAGTGTCTCCAGTTATGGCCTTCAGTCCCGAAACTATGCTGTACGGTAGATAACACACCAACAATGTGAAATGAACCCACAGCGCACTTGAAACTGTTTTCTTGTACCTTTCGACGTGCAGCGGAGACCTTTCATTCGGTTGTCCTTCAGAGACAGTGGCCCGGACTTTCATGCTTTGCAAACGGAGAGTGCGGCAAATCATTCCGTAACAAAATGTCGAAACTACTACGCAAAGCAAAATGCCTGAGAGGCAAACAATATGAAAGAGAAATCTGTTTCCCAAGAAGCGAATGGTCGCGTTGGCGATATTTACTGCCCAGATGAAGATCACAAAAATACGGACTCGCCTAGCGGTCACAGTTTGTCTATATCGTACTCCAAGCGACAGAGCTAGCAATCTATCGATGCTGATAAAGGTTAGAACGAAGAGAGACACTCCGCTTAAAACTGCACTGGTTACATAGCTTGATACAACGGTGAATTGAAAGATCTCCAAATGTTTAGTCAGAATAGAAACGGCGTGAAGAGCAGCTAATGGCTGAGAAATGAGACCAACACAGAGATCTGTAAACGCCAGGGAGCGGATTAATAGCTTTGATGGTGCATGAAGACAAGAACGCCTTCCAAGAGCGAGGAAAATCAAAGTATTTCCCAGGGTCGCCGTGATGGCGAGGAAAATGTTGAAGACAGACAGAACAATAAACGCATTATAGAAGCCCGAACTTTTCCTTTGCAACAAGTTTGGCTGAGATTCTCTGTTGTCGCCGTTCATTTTCTTCAACTGAGAGAAATTTTCGCTAGCTTACATTGAGGAACTTATGTTTGTTCATTTAAAATTACTAACTTGAACGGAGGCGGAATAAGGAGGGTCTGTTTATTTTAAAATCTCATCGGACAATACAAGATAAACGTTTGTTACAAAAATAACATTAATTTTATTATGATGTAGACATGTGCTTTATCAAAATTGCGCTAAATTTTGCCTTCAGTTGCGTAAGATTTACTTCATTGGATAAAAGGCACTTACCTACTACGTGATTTAAGAAATTGATGTCAGATACATTTCCACCTGCTAAATTTGGAAAAGAAGTTTTCGTCAAAGCCTGAGAGCAAACGTCTATATTTTCTTTGAACCAAAAATAACTAGTTTAGGTCTGCACGCAATCTATCTAAGTTACATTATTTGACCATGCAAGTGTACCCAACGGGTCGTGTTGGTAAATTTTCGATCCCCTCCGATTTTCTTAAGTAAAGAATGACACTGCAGATGAACACGAAAACGAGGCCCAAGTTCCTGAAAAGCTAAGGGAGGTTGCAGTTGTTACCGAAAAAATCAGGAAATTTTCGGTTAGAATGTAAATGGTAAGACAATTTTGGCTCGACCAACCGGTAACCTTTCGAATAAACGGAAGGTCTTGAAAGGTAATCCAAAATTTCCAAGCGAAATATCCAAATGGAAAAAGTGCTCACCATTTTAATTCTTCACCAATTTCATCCGCCATCTTGAAATTATGATTAGGTCGAACTCAATCTAGGCTCTCTTGATAAATTGAGGGTTGTTAAGTAACTGGTAAATGGTCAATCCGAACGGAACTTATCGTCAGGGATTTTCGCTTACGCACAAGTGATACAGTGGCTTATAAGTTCTTGCATGACCAATCTACTAATTACCTGAAACCTCTCATTAATGAATACCGTCCATCGCGTAATTACGTTCGCCACTTAGTTATCAAATGGTTTAAACTCAGGACAGTTATAGTGCAAGAGCGTTTTCTTTTGCTGCACCAAAATTATGGATTTCGTTACAGAAGACATTAAGAAAGCGAATTTTTACAACAACTGCCGAAATTCCCGCACGCTCATTGGCTAATTTTCATTTTCAATAAGCGGACAGACAAATGAATTTATAATTCATGCGATGCGTCCGCGAGCGAGAACCGACAATTTGAGAATTTGTTATTGTAAAAAGCAAATTGACGTCAGTTTTTTATGCGTCTGTCCTGTTATTGACAATGAATTTCGTCAAAACATTGTCCAAGTAGTCTGCGGATCCACAGCTACTTTGACGGTGTTATGACGAAATTCATGGTCAATAATAGGACAAACGCATGGAAAACTGCCGTCAATTTGTTAAACTGTGGAAAGTTTAAAACTAAACTGAAGACCTATTTTTCAAGAAAGGTTTTACTTGCCTAATTGGTTTGCTGTTTTTATTAAGCAATTGCTTAGTTATTTAAGTTAGTTTTTTTGTGCTATTTATTTACTTAGTTATTTACTGTTAGGCGCATTGAGTTCCGAAATGCGCTCTACAAAAATGTAATTATTGTTATTATAATATACAGAGTTCAGCTCTTCTCAGAACTAAACTTTCCTTTCTTCCAGAAGCTAAGTCAGCTCAAACCAATCATGATCAAATTTTAAATCAAGGAAGAATGCTTTCCGAGCAGTATAACGAACTCTTCTATGCAAATGAACAAAAACTTAAAAAATGGCGGGCCGATGTTTCTCAAGTCTATCCTTGTTCAATCCACGGTAATCTACACTAATTTTGCACATCCATGCCCCTTTATTGCTTTCTCTCGGTGTTTCTCTCGAGTTCTTCTGAAACTTTAATTTAAGCCGTTATTTTGATATATTCCAGTTAATTCTATGTCCAGTTCAGTGGTAATGACTGAAATTGCCTAACGCTGGGTGACACAGCACCTTTAAGGTCATCAGCTTTCAGTCATGGAGCAGTTATCGTAGCTGAGTTGCCGAATTGTGAAACGTCTGAGCACATCCGCAAGGTATAATTACTCAAGAGAAAATGTGGTTCTACGCATTGTCCTAGACTACGAGTAGTCCCTCTTTCGCTTAGTCCGTCGAGCAAAACCTTAAATAAATCGGTTTATTTACGGTCTAGCTCGATGGACTAAGCAAAAGAGGGACTACTCGTAGTCTAGCATTGTCCGTGATCTGAAATCCTTTGCACGCCATACCCATCAGGCATGCAAGCCACAAAACACTATCAATATTAATTGAAAAACTCTTCCACAGATTTCTACTTCTTCGTCCATGTTCACAGGGAAGTAATCTCTTCCAGGCGGTCAGTAAGTTAGGGCGTAGTGCAAAAACTTGGGCACGAAAAAGTAGGGGAGAAGAGCGGAGCGGGAGGCAAGAACACGCCTGTAAGCATTGTAACTTGGCGTTAATGGCAAACTTGGAAAGTTGACGTTTTATTGCGACATCAGTTATAAGGCTGTTAAGATTAACTAAGCTATTCTATACTTGTGTCACTCTGCGCTCCACTTGAAAACCATAGTATTCCCTTATGGTTTCTTTCACAGCTTGTCTCACTTCCCTGATTCGCCAAAAATACAGAACAGGGTTCACCGATGAATTGAAGAAGATTAAAGTCGCTGCGAAACCATCGGCGACTGGAAGAGTGTCTCCAGTTATGGCCTTCACTCCTGAAACTATACCAAACGGTAGATAACACGCTAACATTGTGAAGTAAACCCACAGCGCGCTTGAAACTGTTTTCTTGTATCGTTCGAAGTGCAGCGGAGAGCTTTCATTTGGTTGTGCTTGAGAGAAAATGGCTTGAACTCTCATTTGTTGTAAACGAAGAATATGGTAGATTTTGATGTAACATATTGTCGATATTACCACGCAAAGAGAAATGCTCGCCACACAAGCGATCTTGAAGACAAGTCTGTTCGCCAGCAAAAAGCTCAGCATCCCATTTGCTATATTGAACACCCAACTGAAAATCACAAAAGCGCGGACTCGCCCAATGGTCACTGTTTGTCTGTATCGTACTCCAAGCGACAGAGCTAGCAATCTATCGATGCTTATAAAAGTTAGAGTGAAAAGAGACACTCCGCTTAAAATTGCGCTTGTGCCATAACTCAATACCACAGTGAATCGAAATATCGCCAAATGCTCGGTCACAATAGCAATGGCGTGAAGAACTGCTAATGGCTGAGAAATGAGACCAACACAGAGATCGGTAGACGACAAACAGCGGATTAATAGCCTCGATGGTGCATGAAGACCAGAGTACCTTCCAAGAGCGAGGAAAATCAAAGTATTTCCAAGAGTCGCAGTGATAGCGAGGAAAATATTTAAGAACGATACAACAATGAATGAGTTATGAACGTACTCCAGTTCTAAATCTTTGTTTTCGAACGAGGTTGGCAGAGTTTTTAAGCTCATTTTCTTCAGTGGAAATATACTGTCCCTCGTTTAGTTCGATGAAGCTGTTTTCTTGAATTTGATTTGTTAGAAAATAAATGTTCTCTGGAAAGGAGACAGGTTTCTTTGTTTAAACGTCTACTCTGACAGAGATAAGGCAAACATTTGTTGCAACAATGACATAAAGTTTACTTTAGTGTGAACATTTGTTTGCTTAAAAATGTACTAAACTGCAGGTTGATTAACAAATCATTTGCTTTATTTGATGAACGCGCTTGCCTAACGCGAGATGTAGACAAAATTTAACCGCTCAACTTGGGAAAGCGTGTTATGTGCTTTATTACCCTGCACAAGTAATACAAGAGTCCGCTCGACTCAAAAGTAAAATTCACGAGAGTGCGTGATTTTCTGCATGGCTAATGGTATTCTTTGTGTTCAACTGATACACCTGCTGTTCAAGTTACCTAACAGAGTAAATACTAATTTAAAACTCCGCCTCAGATTTCTGTTTTTTCATTCATGTTTACAGACAGGTGATGTAATAAGATCGATGCCATAACGTTATTATGACAACATGTTACCTAGCAACAGAATTTCGATCGAGACAATTTGTTACCCTTGTCTGGTTCTGAATCAGACTTTCTCAAAGTCCTTCTCGGTTACAGGTTCTCCGGCTCACTACTCTTTCTCGCGCGCTTCGAACACGGGTTTTGAGCGTCCCTGAAATTTCTCTCGTTCCGAGCTCTGCTTTTGCCGCTCAACTTACAGGCGAATCTTTGTTTACAATATTTGCCTCATTAGCATAAACGATACAGTTTATGATGGAGCTACAAAAACATTAGTTCTGTTTATTGAAATTTGAGTACAGCACGATTAACTGTCCCAATGAATTTGAGCCCGATGTAATGAATACTTTTTGTGCGACGCGGGTTTAAAAACTCAAAATTTTTCAAGGATGTATGAGCTTATTAGCGCTTTTGCTACCCGGAAATTTTGCAGTTTCTGAAAGGGAATTTCTCCACGAATATTCACCCAAAAATTTCACCAATTGTTAAGTTTCACAGGCTCTTTAAATGTTTATAGTCAATTCGTGTGTAGCGTGATCCCTTCTCAGCGCAAAGTCGTATGGTAAACAATGACGACAGCAAAGATTCTCCTTTAGATAAGCCTAGGTTTTGTATGTACCAAAATGGATATAATTGCTACCATTTCCCCATTTCCACCACTTAGTGATCTCATCGCATCGAGGAATTCTGGAGGTTCAAACCAGGAAAGAACTGCACAGGCCCGCAAATGATACCGAGACCGCAAATGATTCCGAAACTGGACCGATCATAATCGCAGGACGGGAAGTGATTCCTGCAAATGACACCGTAAAAAATTAGGAATGGCATGGACTCCGTGAAAAGTGTAGGGTTGTATATATTTTTTAAATTATCCCAAGTGAAGAACGTGAAGTGCCTCAGTCATAAAAGCGACTTATTCGGAGATGTCTCTAGATCTGCTGTCTAATTAACTAGTTATAGTTTTCCCTCTGTATACTGCTTGCGTCGTCAGTTGACACTGGCTTCCATGGAAGTGCTCAAGATTTCTACGTCCGATTTCGGAGATTATGAAGCATACAGCATACGTAATTTCTTTATAATTCGCTCCTACAAATATTAGATAAAATGCGGTAAGCGCGCTAAATTATAAATCCACTGTCCAAATTTCCGAATCCACATATTTCTATCCTTTACGGCGAAACGCCCATTTCAGGTCCAGGAGGCGTCCGGTGATCATTTGCGTTATAATCTGGAGATCATTTCCGGTGCTGGGATTATTTGCGCCTCCGAGATCATTTACTGCCCCGTAAAGTTAATACCTGTCAGCTTCAAGTTAGTCCACCACCTGAGGCATATATTTCCCCGGGGAGGACTTCCCTAAGAGGTACCAACTCTAAAATAACACATTTAATATCTCCTGTTATATTTTTTTCGGTTCTAAATGTATAAAAGACACTGCGAAAGCTCCCGCTGCGGACCTTTTGAGGCTGAACCCCTAAGAAGGACTAAAACCTCATTTTTGAACCCTAAAAGGTACGACCAGTACCCCCGTCCAATTTATATGGGTGTTCCCCCGGGATATACCGCTTAGGGAGCTTCTCGCACAGCAAAGAGTTAGGTAAAGATTTAGATTCAGATTTAGTGGAACCATTGCCCGTAACTTGGCATTTGAACATGACTAAATGAATCAATATCAGCTATAGACAGAACTACTAAAGGATTTCACGGAAATATGTGAAATGTCACATACTCTCGTGATTTTACGTTACAAGATAACTCAGTAATTTAAGTCGCAATTGTGTAATTTAACGTATGCCCCACAACTTCACTAAGGTCATTGATTCTCATTCTGGTTGGCTTGAGCCTGGATCTGAAAGAGACGAAAGTTCAGTTTCTGTTCGAGTTTAGCTGAAATTTGCATCACTTGTCCACAAACACGGCTTAGCTGAATCCCCAGTTCCCCTCATACTGAGAAAAAAGTTAGAATAAATTAAACACAAATTAAATAAGAAGACATGGACATATTCCCATGAAAGGAAATAGCCTGATATAACTCAATGTCGGACGCAGCCGTAAATTGCTTAAAAACAACACGCAACGATTCATATCAATCTTTTTATTTTATGTTTCCGACATCAATTTCTTAACTTACGACTCAGACAAGTACCTTTTGTCCAATGACACAAATTTTCCGCTGCTCAGCGCATAATTTGGTACAATCTTAAGCAAACACACCGTCACACCGTGGTATTGATGTCAGTTTTGTAATGGATATTTGTCTTATTATTATCTTACTAGATTTTAGAATAAATAGACCCACCTTATAATGCCCCGCCGTTTTAATTCCTATTATCAGATCAGGTATAACTTCCATAACCAGCCTAGCGAACATTTCTCTTGAAGAAATGAACGGCAACGACAGGGAAACCCAGCCAGAAATATTTCAAAGCAAGAGTTTGGGTTTTTATAATTCGTTTATTGTTCTGTCAGTCTTGAATAGTTTCCTCGCCATCACTGCGACGTTAGGAAATACTTTGATTTTTCTCGCTCTTGGAAGGAACGCTGGTCTTCACGCTCCATCGAGGCTATTAATCCGCTGTTTAACGTTTACCGATCTCTGTGTTGGTCTCATTTCTCAGCCTTTAGCTGCTGTTCATGCTATTTCTATTCTAACTAAACATCTGGCGATCTTTCGATTCACCGTCGTGTCAAGTTATATCGCAAGTGCAATTTTGAGCGGAGTGTCACTGTTTGTTTTAACCTTAATCAGCATCGATAGATTGCTAGCTCTGTCGCTTGGAGTACGATACAGGCAAACAGTGACCACTAAGCGAGTCCGTATTTTTGTGATCTTCATCTGGGCAGTAAATATCGCCAACGCGACCATTCGCTTCTTAGGAAACAGATTTGTCTTCTACACTTTTAGCCTCGTGAGCATTTTACTTTGTGTAGCAATTTCTACATTTTGCTACGGAAGAATTGGTCGCACTCTACGTGCGCAAAGCATAAAAGTTCGGGCCACTGTTTCTGAAGGTAAACCAAACGAAAGCTCTCCGCTACACGTCGAACGATACAAGAAAACAGTTTCAAGCGCGCTGTGGGTTCATTTCACATTGTTAGCGTGTTATCTACCGTTCAGCATAGTTTCGGGACTGAAAGCTATAACTGGAGATACTTTTGCAGTTACTCATGGCTTCACTGCGACTTTAATCTTCTTCAATTCATCGGTGAACCCTGTTCTGTATTGTTGGCGAATCAGGGAAGTGAGACAAGCTGTGAAAGAAACCATCAAGCAATATTGCAGTTTTTCAAGTATGGCACAGACTGACATAAATGAAGAAACCCCATGATCTTGGGAGTTCCCTTTTTGCAACCACAAAATAAACAACAAATACTACAGGAGCTGTTCTGAACAGAAGCTATTTATGTATTGGCACCATGTTAAGACGTCGCCAGGTTGGAACATGGAAACGACAGAACCCATTTTTGTACACGCACATTGAAAACAATTCGTTTTTCTCTTTCGGTATCCCGTTGCTAAGCAACTCGATGTGTCCTTAAAGCGTAACGTCACAGCCATGCTCGAGAGTATTGCTGGGAAGCCCTTCAGCTAACTTAGCTTAAAAGGTTTTTCACGTTCATTTCTGGATATTATATTTCTCAGAGTTAGGTCTGTTTCAAGGAAATTAAATAAAAAACTTTTGTTTGTGTATTTCTCTACATCTCTTTATCTGTAAGCATCAAGGTAGCTAATTGCTCATAACTTGGCTTGTGAGCGCGACTCACCGGAAATGAATAAACATTCGTTGAAGACTTTTAAATAGTATTGCCCGGCATTTAACACGCAAAGGATTGCACAGAGAATGCCGAAAATCACGTACTTTCGTGATTTCCCTATTTCCCTATTTCCCTAGAAAGCTGAGAAGAAAAGTTATTAAAAACAAAACTAAGAAGAAAGGGACAAATTGCCAACGAAAACAGCATACACTCTATTTTTCATAAGAATACTTTTTTTCTGGCCGAGGCTGAAAATTTTTATTTTTCTGCCGATTTTAGGCTGAAAATATTCTTGTGAATATCCTTAGATTATAGCGTATGAAATTTCTGTTTTCGAATGTATTTTGTGATGGTGTTAAAGCAATTTGCATCCAGCCTGCAGGCATTTAAACCTGATATAACGCACATAACGTCTTGCAGAAATGTCACCAGAATCGAACATACGGCTATTGCTGTTTTTGATGTGGAGTATATATGAAATAATTCATATTTGAAGTGCGGTTGCAGATGAAAGTGAAGAATGATCATCGCAATAAATTTTTCAATTTAAGCAATTGGGAAGAAGAAGCCTGGAAAAAATCAGGGCTTCAACGGGATTCGACAATAATTCGTGCAATTCGACAATTCGTGCTGTTTTTGTTACTTTTTGGCAAATTTTGCCGTTTAGAAAAAGGAAGAATTTTATACGGTTTAGCTAAAAACGTAATTGTTTTGTATTCACAAATTTTCAACATACAATATCACATTCTTTTCAAAATCACAGCCTCAAAAAATATTCTTAAAATCTCGCAAATTTCAACTTCGATATTCTCATAAAATATATTCTTATAAAAGTGTAAGTGTATATCAACGTCGGATGTGGCCGTATATAGCAACAAACAGAGCATAAAACGATTTTTCAATCTTTTTTATTTTAGCAGTTGGAAATGTTTCCGGCCCTGACATCAATTTCTTAAATTACACCTTAGAAAAATGCCTTTTATCTAATAACGCAAATTTTCCCCTGCTCAACTCATAATTTGGTACAATCTTATGCAAACACAATGTCACATCATGGCAACTTAATCTTATTTTTGTAATGAATGTTTGTCTTGAATTTACGACTTAATTTTAAATAAACAAACCCCCCTAAATCCCGCCCCCGTTCACTGAGATAAATGTTCATTCTTTAAAATTTTAAATTAAAAAATATTGCTTCCTCAATCTGACCTGCTGGGCACAATTTCTCTCATTTGAAGATAATGAACGGTGGCAACAAAGAAACGCAGCCAGCTTTGTTTGAAACCAGAAGTTTGGGATCGTATATCGTTTTGTCTTTCTTGAATATTTTCCTCGCCATCACGGCGACTCTTGGAAATACTTTGATTTTCCTCGCTCTTGGAAGGCGTTCTTGTCTTCACGGCCCATCGAGGCTATTAATCCGCTGTTTGACGATTACTGATCTCTGTGTTGGCCTAATTTCGCAGCCATTAGCTGCTCTTCACGCCATTTCTATTCTGACAGGGCATTTGCGCATCTATCTGTTCACCGTTGTATCAAGCTATGTAACCAGCGCAGTTTTAAGTGGAGTGTCTCTCTTCATACTAACCTTTATCAGCATCGATAGATTGCTAGCTCTGTCGCTTGGAGTACGATACAGACAAACTGTGACCACTAAGCGAGTCCGTATTTTTGTGATCTTCATCTGGGCAGTAAATATCGCCAACGCGATCATTCGCTTCTTGGGAAACACATTTGTCTTTTACATTGTTTGCGTCGCGGGTATTTTCCTGTGTGTGGTAGTTTCGACAATTTGCTACGTAAAAATTTGCCGCACGCTCCGTGTGCAGCGCAAAAAAGTTTGGGCCACTGTTTCTGAAGGACCACCTAATGAAAGGTCTCAGCTGCACGTCGAAAGGTACAAGAAAACAGTTTCAAGTGCGCTGTGGGTTCACTTCACATTGTTAGTGTGTTACCTACCGTACAGCATAGTTTCGGGACTGAAAGCCATAACTGGAGAAACTTTTGCAGACGCCGAGGGATTCACGGCAACTTTAATCTTCTTCAATTCATCGGTGAACCCTGTTCTGTATTGTTGGCGAATCAAGGAAGTGAGACAAGCTGTGAAAGAAACCATCAGGCAATACTTTGGTTTTTCAATTGGAGCCCAGGTTGACGCTCCAAACGTCAGTTTTCAACGAACATCTACGACGGGGCGTTTCATTTAACTTTGTAATCTTCAACTAAGTTTAAAGACCATTTCTTGACTTATATTTGTTTCATTTTCTAAATAATTTTTTGGTTATTAGAAGCGGCTTTGAATATAGATGCCATATTTTAACGTAATAACGAGGTGGGGCATTGAAACTTACGGCCTCATACATTATTATACACACAATTTGAAAAGAAAAATTTTTCTGCAGGATTGCTTCTGTTGCTAAATACAACGTATTCCTGTAACGTGAAGATGACAGGTCAGTATTCGTCCAATCAGGTAGCTCCTAGGCTAGCTCAATTGTGATGATTTTTGCGATGGCGTTTTGCGATTGGAGTTGTCAGAATTTGTTCTGTAGCTTTAGTGAGGTAGCAACTGAAAACTTATGATGACGATTTCTTTTAATCCTCGTACCTATCTACTTCAGTTAGTTTATTGCTCTTTCCTTGGCATGTCAACTTATCAGTAAGTAAACAGAGAATTGCAGTGTTTGCCCTGTTCTGCAGCGTTTTGGTAGCAGGTGCATATATACGCAATGGGTTTGACACAAAGTGCGGAAAATCACGTCCTTTCATAATTGTATGTTACGCAAGGACTAATTAATTTCGGAGTTGAGTAATCAAATTATTCCTTACCGTCTCACAAGTGTAAGCTTGTGATCTTATGCTTAACAATTCAGCTGCATAACCGTCGGCTTGAATTTAACTCTAGAAGAGACGAAAGTTCCGTTCTCAATATATAGAGATAAACAGGCTTGCATTACTTGAGCATTGTTCAAACGGTACCGTACCTCGACATAGGCGGTTTAGCGATGATATGGATAGGACTGATCTCCCTCAGCAGAAAGCTGAGTAGAACGTTGTTTTAATGTTACTGAAAGAAACTGGTTTCATAGCCTGCACAGGAGGCGTAAAACGGGGGAGAGAGGGGTGGGGGAGGAAGAAGGGATTGAGGGACGGGAGACAGGGAGGGAAGTTTACACCTGCACGACAGGCTTCTGATTTCATAGTAGCATGGTCAAACCGTTTTTCCAAGCTTAGCAGGTGAAAATTGTTTTGACATTCATTTCTTAAAACACAATATAAGTAAGGTAATACAATCCGTAAATGTGAGTGTCGTTGCTGATTGGGATTTACTAGCGCGCGAAAATTCATCGGCTAACGGCAGCTGTACGTGTCTCGTCCTCAGGCGCCGTTGCGTTTCGTCGGCGAAGAGCGGGAAACAAGGAACGCGGTGCTTGATGGTTAGCAAGGAGCGCAGTGCTGGATGAGTGCAACAGACCCACAATACCACGGGCACCGAGCTCCAGTGGAAGAAGGACGCCTAGAGATGAGGCAGTAGCGATAGCGAATAAGCGGCGCCAAACACTTCTCTGAGTAGCACGTCATCATTTGTAAATTTTTGTTGTCAAAAACCGTTTTACACCCCTTGACTGGGGGAAAAATTGCACGCTCTAAAGGAAACAAAATACTGTTGTAATTATTTTCATCCATCTTTTTGACAGTGTGTTGATGTAAGTGACTTACCTTTGCACAGCATCCAAACATCAGCGAATAAACAGAGTACTTGGGCCTTTCATGTTGCAGAGAGTGACATGTAGTTAGTTGACATAAATGAAAGTGTCTTTTAGCTAACTGGGAGCGTTATGGATGCATGGCGGGGTAAGCAAGGGAAGAAAAAACCCTCAGTGTATGCAGATACATAGTGCACTCTTTATTTTTATAAGGATATATTTTATAAGACTCTCGAGGCTGAAACTTGCGAAATTTCAAGAATATTTCAAGATTAAACCCGAGGCTGAGATTTTGAAAAGAATATAATTTTGTGTGTTGAAAATTTGTAAATACAATACAGTTATATATTTTTAACTAAACCGTATAAATTTTTCATTTCTCTAAACGACAAACTGGCTAGCCACAAAGCAACAAAAACAGCACTAGCCGTATGTTCGATGCTGAAAATATTTCTGCAAGGAGTTATTTGTTCTGCAGGCTGGCTCCAAAATTACTTTAACAGCATCCAGACCGCAAATACATTCGAAAACAGAAATTTCATACGCTATAATCTGAGGATATTTATAGGAATATTTTCCGCCTGAAATCGGCAGAAAAATAAGAATATTCATTCTCGGCTGGAAAGTCAATATACTTATTAAGAAAGATTGTATACGTCGTTCTCCACACGACGATGAAATTTTTACATGCGGAATTAAAACGAGTGTTTAGTATTTCAGTTAAGATGGTTGATGAAACGCCAAAACCGAAGAGTTCATCTTGTATACAACACTAACTTAATTAATCTAGACGAACAAATATTTTTTTAAGCAACCCGAAAAAGTTTCAACTTTACAAGGGTTTGTAAGCAGGAAGGGAATACAAGTAAAATTATTAAACGGTCCGTGAAGCTAGAAATTAAAAATACACAATGGGAAACGTTGCATCGCGTCAGTTAGGGAGGGACAGAAACGAGGTAATCAGTGCGTGGTACACAAAAATGTAAACAACTCTATATTGAATGTGGTTTTTCCATAATAGCCATTAAAAATACACAATGGGAAACGTTGCATTGCGTCAGTTACTGAGGGGCAGAAACGAGGTAATCAGTGCGTGGTACACAAAAATGTAAACAACTCTATATTGAATTTGGTTTTTCCATAATAGCCAGAGTTAATAATGGCTCCATTTCCTAAAAAAGCAAACAATCCCACCTGTTTTCCACATACTCTTTTTTATGTTTTTTTTTTAGAGTGAAAGAGGAAAGCTGGAAGTTCTCTGATAAAACGAGCGCCAGTTTTTCTCGAGGATGTCGAATGATGAGGTTCGCCCAACCTTGTTTGACAGTATACATTTGGGTTATGTTTATAACTCGTTTATTGCTCTGTCGGTGATAAACATTTTGCTAGCTATAACTGCGACCTTAGCTAATATTCTGATCTTCCTCGCTCTTCGAAAGGAGTGTTTGCTTCATCCGCCATCAAGACTGTTACTCCGCTCTCTGGCGTCTACAGATCTCTGTGTTGGCCTCCTTTCGCAGCCATTAGCAGCACTTCATGCTATTTCCATTCTTACTGAAAACTTGCGCCTCTATCGATTCACCGTTGTCTCAACTTATTTCACCAGTGCAGTTTTAAGCGGAATGTCGCTCTTCATACTAACCTTTATCAGCATCGATAGATTGCTAGCCTTGACGCTTGGAGTACGATACAGACAAACAGTGACCATTAGGCGAGTCCGTACATTCCTGGTTCTTAGCTGGGTGTTAAACATCGCAAATGGTTTCACGCGCTTCTTATCAAACCAATTTTCCTTTTACGTGGCCTGTGTGATGGGCATTTCTCTTTGCGTGGTGACGTCGACGTTTTGCTACACCAAAATTTACTACATTCTTCGTTTGCAGCAAATGAGAGTTCATGCAACTAACTCTGAAACACAACCTAGTAAAAGCTCACTAATACTCAATGCCCAACGACAGAAGAAAACACGTTCAAACGCAGTCTGGCTAAAGTGTTGACACAATCCCCGAGACAACCGTGTGAAACACATAAAAGTCCAGCCTTATGTGTCTCAAGGGCAACCAAATAAAAGCTCTCCGCTACACATTGAGCGATACAAGAAAACAGTTTCAAACGCGCTCTGGATTCATTTAACATTGTTAGCTTGTTATCTACCGTACAGCGTAGTTTCGGGAATGAAGGCAATAACTGGAGACACTTTGAACATATCCGTGGGGTTCACTGCGACTTTAATCTTCTTCAATTCATCGCTGAACCCTGCACTCTATTTGTGGCGAATCAGGGAAGTGAGACAGGCCGTCAAAGAAACGATCCGGCAATATTGTGGTTTGTCCAGTGAAGCTTAGAGAAACGTTAAAATAAATTTTCGTGAACGATCATTTTGTAAAAATGAATCGAAGAAAAAGACTGACGCCCGAAATGTCAAGTTTCCTAATTCACTATGACAGTAAAATCAGTCACCTTCAAGTTGTAAATAGACAAAGGGCTTTAAAAACTAAAAAAACGACAAGAGAAATCACTCACTTACGGTTACTTTGGCCTGTTGCTCCTTCAGGCTCTACGGTTCATTGACGTAAAATAGTTTTTCGCCTGTACAAGTGTTCTAAACATATTTTGCCGTTCGGTTACCTCAGTAGATAGTTTCGTCAACTTGAATCGCGCGTAACGCACTTTAAATAATATATTGATTTAGCCAAGACTAAGCCTACGTACAACAACAACAACAACATATAACAGAATTTAGCAGTTTAATCACCGCTTTTATTGTTTGATACAACATCATCATCATCATCGCTTTATCCTGTTGGAACTGTTATTCACCTTTTTTTCAATCAATTTACTTGATATTGAAAGAGTTAGTTCGTAGAAAGGTTTCAGCAAACTTTATTCCTGGATTCTTGCATCCTAAACGATAAAACTACATTCAAATACTTTGTAATTTGTTGTAGAATCCGGTCGTCATTCATATGCTTTGCCTAAACTTCACTTTCATTTTCAGCCATGACTCACTTGGGGTATTGGCCGGACATAAACATAGAGTACTAAATAGGACTTCAAAACGCGAATGAAAGCCCAGTCTTTTAATTTTTCTTTATGCCGACAAACGGGGAAGTATACGTTTTGTGGCTCACAGTTGACTGAACCACAGAGTAACGAAGAGCCCCCAGCTTAGTCTTTGGTCTAACAAGTCAAGATCAAGTAGAACATATTTAAGTTAACCGGTGAAAGCTTAACTAAAATGAAAGTACGTCCAAGACAATTTTCTTCTGGCAGAGCACAACTGGGGCGATATCCGAAGGAACTATACCGTGCAAGCTACATGGAACATCATTCCACTGTCCTGGTTGAAAAGGCCACCATCGTTTTTCTCCAATCTTGTGGACACAATTTTCTCCTCCGTGTGCTGCCGAGTCGTTTGGTTCCCCATTGCCCCATGCTGTGTAACCCGAGAGAGGAGTGTCGTCTACCCAGTAGAACTGTTGATCTTTCTTGCGGTGAAGTCCTAACCATACTCCGTAGTGTGTGACTGTTTTCTGCTTGCGAAGAAGATCATAGACGAACTGATTTTCGCTGGCTGTTGTGATTTTGCCGAGATCTCCACCTAGCCTTTGGCACATTACTCGAGCTTTCCTCCACTTTGGGGTTGGGCTATCGATAATGTGGAAACACGAGTCTCCATGATGAGCCCAGCCATTTGGACATACCTGGTCTGTTTGAAAAATTGGAAAAGATGTGATTAACTACAAGACAGCAAAATGGCGTTAAGTTTATTGTCCCCGTCACCTGCAAAGCTAGCGGGGTCCCGTGCGAATTGACTGACTGCCAAATTGGACTCGGTCTACAGCCTTGTCCAATTTTAGTAGTCCTGGGAATTTTTTCTTAGAATTATTTTTTAGTTTCAAATTGTACTGCATGTAATCCCGTTACATACAAAAATACGTATATTGTCTCACACGAAATAGTAAGCTGCCACACCCCCAAACACATTTGAGCTACCTAGCCTGTGTACATCCGCCCCCTCCCCGCAAAAATAATCGTTATATCTGGGAGGAGGGGGCGGATTTACGCAGGCTAACGTGAACGGAGGCTTTCTCCCAAAACCGTCATAATGTTATGTTTTGTTGTCCTCAAAATGCGAATTTCTTTCTCTAACAAAGTCACGCCCCTATTTTGACTATCGAACAAGGAAAACTATGAGATGATAAATGAAAACGTTTGCGAAATACTTGTAAACTATTTTCATCTCACTAAAACGTGCTTCAGTAGAACAAGCAATTTATTGATTATAGTATTTCGTGCTAGTTTTGTTATTAACATTAAAGTACCTGTTAAAGGGTCTTCAGTTGGATCGACGGTAGCCTTTGACGCCTGATTGTGGTGCAAAAGAGGAAAATGAAAGTAAGAAAAAGTTTGTTTGCTTTCAGTTGTGTAATTGTTTTGGTGACAATGCTGTGGGACGGCCTTGCTATCCTCAAAAGTGATCGACCAGCTTAATTCTAATTTCTTCCCGAAATCGACGCATCAATCATGAGGTATACTCAACGAAAGACGTTCAAGGAGTGCTCGCTATTTGTTGTTTAACGGAGATTTCATGCAATGAAATCGGAGATATCTGCGCAAAGGCTCAACAACATCCGGGGAAGCCTTCATTATCGATAAGCAATGGACAATTTACGAATCATTTAAGGAATAGAACTCAAAATATTTCTACTTGTGTTCCTTTAACTCGATAGAAACAAGCAGAAAGTGTTTTTTACTTTGGTCAGAAAACAGCTCGAGAGGAGGGCAAATCACTCTCGATCGGTACATTTATCAAAATGTAAATTCTCTTCACTTGGACCGTCATTACGTCAACAGATTGCTATAATAGGTCCTCCTCAACCTCATTCTCAGGGTCCTCTTTTTATCTCGAGGGAGGGGACCCTGGGAACGAGGTTGGGTCCGCCTCTCATTTGAGTTATAGAAGTAGGTACTTCAGTGTGTAACTTCTTACAGGGAGTTTCCTAATAAATAATTAATAATTAAACTCGCTTACATTTATGACTGCCTGCACTTGTAGATTCAGCGATCTAAGCCATGTCTCTGCCATTGAAATAACCTGAAAGAAATGTTCTTTTTGTTAGTTCCTGCAGTGGTTGCCAGTTCGTTCTTCGTTATATGTGAAGAGCGAACCATAGCTTTTTTTATAAAACGCTGTACGTAGAAATACGAACTCAGTCAGTAAGTAAATAATAAACCTGGTTTTCACAAGCAACGCATTAACAGACTAGACCTGAAAACTGCAAGTGGGTAGGACCCCGAGGCAGATCAGAATGTTTTTGTTACGGCTGTGCATTTTAGCTAGTGTTTCGCCGATAGGTTTGTCATTGTTTTAAAAAATAAACAACGATAAGATTTTATCAAACCTGTGGGTTGCAATAGGATGCTGAGCCTTCATCATTTTCTTCCTAAAAACAATAAGATGGCATTAAATAAAGATTTGTTCAATGTTTTTATCATCATCATCAGTATCTGCTACTTAAATAGACAAGGCATAAGGCTGTTTAAAACATGAAACATACTACTGCTATGCGAAGAAAGAGTGAATGAATGAAAGAAAGGATTAACAAATGAAGAAATGAATGAACGAACAAACAAACGAATGCATGAACGAACGAACAAATGAAAGAAAGAACGAACGAAAGAACGAACGAAAAAACGAACGAACGAACGAACGAACGAACGAAGGAACGAACAAATGAACAAAAGAAGGAACGAAAGAACGAAAGAACGAACGAACGAACGAAAGAACGAATGAATAACCTTAATTGCTTCCTGTCATTTTCAAAATGCCGCACCTTGGTATTTTATTTTAGGATTAGTATTTTAGTTTCAATAATGGTATAAGCTATCCCGTAAAATACGTTGAGGGTTTATGAATGTTTTCAGACTAATTGAAAAGTATACCTGAGACGGGATGTTGCCAGAGGCGGAGCCAGATCCCTCCATTTCATTCTAGAAAGAGAAATGAAATTTTTTTAATATTTGTTAATTGTCTCTACTCGTCATTTTTAACCCTTTTAAAATTTCGCTAAAATCTTCGCTAGATTATGTGTAAACCAAAACCCGGCACTGACGTTCATTACTTTTTATTGGATTTCTGCTTACATTTATGAGAGTTTCCAATGTTTGAGTGACGTCTATAAGCCTCGACTTCATCTCTGTTAGCTCCTAGAAGGCAGGTTTATTTGTGAGACAGTATCACTGAGAAACAGATACAAATAGCTACTGACATGCGGATAAGAATATTTTGATCATTGTGTTTAAGCGTTCATTTTTTTAGTGTTAGCGACTAAACAAATGATCAGACTTCGAGTGAGGTAAGGCTAAAGTCTGCCTCGGACCTAGTGACCCATATGGCCGAAGCTTATCCCGGCTTCTGTAGCACTTAGCAACTAGGAGTATTTCTGCTCTCCCCTGGATGGGATGCTAATCCATCGCAGGGCTACCCCCAGCATTAAGTTCCCCGGTACCCATTTATAAACTTGTGTGGAGAGAGGCACTGTGAGAGTAAATTGTCTTACACAAGAACACAACAAAATGTCAGTGGCCAGGGCTCGAACCCAGTATACCGCTAGATCAGGAGTCCAGCGCGCTAACCATGAGGCCAATGCGGCCTCCATTTTGAGTAAGTCATTCGGTAAATCATATACATACCTGCGTGCTGTAAATGCCAGACCCGAGTTCGTCTTCTTCAACCTAAAAAATCGTGTTGAAATATAATCAAGCCGGTCACAGAAATTAAAGCACACCATGCATGAGTCGGTACACTTACAAACTAAACTAAAACATATCTGTGTGTTGTTATATGCAGCCTGTAACCCCGGCTCCTTCTCTTCCTAAAATGGTTAGTTGAAATTCAATTACGATTTGAAGTAGCTTATTTTGTCATTTTTTTGCTCAATACCTTGGCTGTATTTCTAAGAGCTTGAAATCCTGGCAGCAGACATTTTGAGTACAACACTGTTTTGCGAGAAACCTGCTGTTGTTCTCCGTGCTTCAAGAGAGCGGAACTGTAAGCACAGATCAGTTTACCTAATAAAAAAGACAATCTTGTGATCCTTACTTTTATGAGTATTTCCATTTCCTGAGTGAGTTCGTTAACCTTCGACTTGAATTTTGTCAGCATCTAGAAGAAAAATGCTTTGTTAGTTTATCAACTGGCACGGAAAAAAATTGTCTGCGGTAAAAATAAAAATATAAAAAAACAAAAATAAAACAAGAAGATGGTTTTTCGCATGGCTTCTATTTCTCACCAACAACGCAAGGAAACCTAAAACAGGAGATTCCACTTCAACGCTGGGAGTTCTTTACTTATCACAATTAGATTTTAAGTTTTTAGTTTTTCCACTGTTCATTTTCGGTTAACAAGATATATCAAACACTCAAGCCAGTGTTTCACTCAGACATTTGTACAAACACCTTTAAATTTGTTAAAAGCACGACGCTCACTCTCTTCTCTGTGTTCGCAAATGTGATGAAACACAGTCTCTCGTTTTTATGCATCACTGCATCACCAGAAGCACAGTGAGGGGCAAAAAAAATGTGGATTTAATTTGTTTATTGTACCAATGCCTTCGCGATCGGTTTACTGATAGTTCTTATAGTTACAAACCTCAACGCAAGCAGATGCCTTATTTCCCTCGTGCTCCTCAGGCTGCGGGAGTTAAAGAATAAATCAATCAGAAAAATTTTGTAAACTTGGAAAAGCCGCAAACGGATTTAGGCTAGCCGGGTTTGAATAATGTAAACTTATCGAAGATATAAAAAGTTTAAAACGGTGCTTTAAAACTCAAGAATTTGAGTTTTTTTTTTGTCTCTCAGTAAACTAAGAAGTCTGGTAGTCTAGGCAGATCGAATTAAGCTTAGTGAAATAAGGGCGTGAAATGTTTTTCAGCGTTGTAACTTTTCAGTGAGGTTTTTTAATCTTTAATCTTTAATACAAATTCCAAATTACATTACATTGAACAAGTCAATCCAATGAGGACAGCTTAAAACAGAATACAAGATTCCTTCATATAAGCCGCCTTACTGTATCATTGAATGATTGTATACCTGGTTAAAAAGTACTCTAAACTCATATTAAAAAATAAAATAATCACGATAAAAAATTAGCACTGAACTTATCGTAAAAATAAGCAAACAATTTATTGGGGAAGACTGACAAGGTGTTAGACTCCCTGATGTTAAGAGGTAGTTCATTCTATGAGCGACAAACCCGTATAAAATATGAGTTCTTAAAAGATTCTGTGCGACTAAACGGGACATTGAGTGTTAGATAATCAGTCTTTCTCAAAGGCTTGTTGCAAGTTCAAAACGATACAAAGTCCAAAATATCTAAATTATACATATTCTTAAAACATTTTGTTTACATTTTTGGTCCTTCTTTTAAAAAACAGTCGCCCCCTTAAGGAGAGAGAAATCCAGGCGCTAAATTTTGCTTGGACCTCCCATTGGGGCGGGATAATTAACTAGTAAAAATTTTGCAAACGTACAAAGGTCTCAACTGGAAATCCAACTCAAATGATTACACCGATTTGGCAAAGATTATGAAAACTGGTGACACAAAACTGCTTGCAGGAAGACGCCATGTACTATTGTACCTACGGTTCCGTTGAAATTGATAGTCCTTATTACTAACCATTCCAAATTGGCAAACTATGACTTTCTCATATGCATTTTCCTCCTCAGCCTGCGAGAGTTAACGAAAAAAATCAAAACAAATAAGGAACCTCGAGGAAACTGCAGAAGATCTAGGCTAGCCGAGTTTGAATAATGTAAACTTGCCAGATATCGAAAGTTTTTAAAACTCGAGAAATTAACTTTTTCCCTCTGTGTACACTAAGAAATCTGTTGATCTGGGCAAAATTAAGTTATCCGGAAAATTGTATCGAAGTATTATAATTTTTCAGTTAAACTTTCTGTTTATATTTTCGGTCCTTGCTTTATGAAGTCGATCACGATAAGTCTCTATCTTCCCAAAACTTACACAGTAGAAAACTCTGTTCAACTTAACAGCAATCGGCCCCTAAAGGAGTGAGAAATGCCGGCGCCTAATTTTGCCAGCTCGGATTTCCCGTTGGGAATAATGAACTAATAAAAATATTGCAAACTTACAACTGGAAATCCAACTCCATTGATTATACATTCAGCAAAGATTATGAAAGCAATGATGAGACAAAACTGCATCCAGGAAGACGCCATAATTTCCAGCTACGCCAGCAACCTGAAACGTCGATACCGGAAAAAATAATTTAAAAAACTATGAAATTCCACATTATGTACCTCATAAACATTTGCTTTAAATTGTTCCTTCTTTCTAGAGGGAACGCGACGGAATAGACAGGCACAAATTTGCCCGTTTAGTTGTTAATGATCATTTACCGGAAGCCCGTCGTTCGGAGAAAGGTTTCGCAATGGGATATATACAAAACCAGGAATAACGGTACTGTATAAAGAGAAGGACAACAAACAGTGAGAGTAAATTGCACAAAGAGTTCGCCTTCAATTAGCCTGCATGTGTACAGCAGCCGCATGCTTTCCTCAGGAAAGCCCAAGCCAAGAGCTTTGCTTAAAATTATATTTCGAAAGCCTACGTTACTTTAAGTAAATACATAAATGAATTAATAAAAATAAATAAATAAATAAATAAATAAATAAATAAATAAATAAACAAATAGAGGATTTGTAGTAAAAAGATATATTGGGAACGCAATAGGAACCGCGGTTTGGAAGCGCGCACTGTGGTAAAGACAGGCGAAATCACAGCATAATTTCGACACAGTATCTTTTAGACCTAAGGACGAAGAACTATCTTATATAAAATCGAATCACTGAGTTGAGGCAGAACGGAACCTTCTGTTTTCGCGCTGAAACAAGGTGCTCACAGGGGCTGATTCATGGGGTTGTTGGAACTGACGTTTGTCAATATTCGAGAATCAAGCATGAAATTATTCGAAGCGGCTTTTATATTTCTTGCTTTGGAAATAATTTTCTGAGCAGCAATGATTATTTTTTACTTGATACTAAAGTAGTCCGGGATACACCACTTAATAACGGAAATTGTTTATCATTTGGTCTGAAGTTCGATTTCCCCTCAATTTCCTTCGTTCAGTTCGCGATCAAGCTACGACCAGTAAACACTCGGGTTTCAAAATATAAACTAGAAACTGCAGACGTTTGAATTGTTATTTTATGCTTATGTAGAAAGTCAAACGACAAAGTAAAATGTAACTGTAAATAGTATAAAACAAGACGTTTTAACCGAACTGTGTGCGAACAAATACATACCAAAATAGAGCACTGTATGTTCTAAGTTGCGCTGAGTTCCCGTTGCTTTCAGTTCGAGCTATCTCTGAAAGAAACTAATTGATACTGACTAAACATGGGGAAGATCTCCGTTTATTGCTTTGAAAAGCCGGAAAAAATTCCATCACGTAAAACTGTGACGGGTGTTATTCGCATCTCAGATCAAATTTAACTGATGCTAATAAAATTCCGATGCTCTCCGCCCTCGGGTTAGACGCCTGTCAGGCAAGATTACGTGATGTAGTTACGGAGAAGCTCAAAGTAATCCTCGAAAAATAAAAAATAAAAAAATAATGAGCTTGATTGTAGAGGATGATAACTGAAAGGCAGATTGCAAGAGTCATAGCTCAGGCATGTTTTGTTTCTGCCAGCGGGTCAAATGCTATTAATTAAATACTGTTGGAGAGGAAAATTTCAGCAGCCATATAAGTCAGAGTGGGGGCCGAAAGATAACGCAATTTATTTACTCTCTTATCAATTGGAAACGGTAGATAAGAAACTCATTTTCCGCAGAGGAAGTCTTGAGACCGTCGTGCAAGATTTTGGAACTTCCTTAGGAAGTTACGAACTAATATTAGTGTTGGTTTTCCGGATGTTTTCCATGTCATCGAAGATCTTACCCCGTTGCCCGGCTGTTAATTCACTTCATCAGGAAATATCGCCTTCCTAGTGACGTGATAAGCTCTTATCCGTGTAATTTGCGAAGTTGTTGTTTTGTATAATCGTGTTAATTGCCCTTAAGACGTCACTGCGAAAGTGATATTTTCCAATTAACATTAACCGAGTGATGAAGCGAACTAATGACGCTGATAGAAAACTTCCTGCGTTGACAACTGGCAAAGATAAGCAAAGGTAAACACAAAAATAGTACAGAACAGAAGCATATCGCTTGATATTCTGCGTGTAAAAGATACCTCTGAGAAGTGACCTTAAAAAAATATCCAAAGGGAGATAGCTGCTGTGCCTAGAACTTCTAAGTCAGAACGAATAAAAAATGTGTGCTACGAGAATCAAACTAGTGTTGTATTTCCCTACAGTCTGCCACACGGCACGCGAACATTTAAGTTGCACGTCAATTTTACTCAGCCAACTACATAAATTGTGGTTATGCTGCTCTATTTATAGTTTTGGATGAACAGACAAGATTGCTCGGTTTATCTGTATTGTAATGTCATCCTTTCCGCTAGCCGTAACAAAATGTCTTTTCACATATGCATTCGCCGGAGTATTAAATGTAACTTGACTGCGAAAACAGACGGACTGTGAATACGGCGGCGAGTGGGCGTCATTCACTCAACAAAGGAAAAGAAAATGTGACGAAAATGTTGGGTAATATAAATCTGACATGGAACAACCTAGAGGATTTGATGAGCGACAAAATGTTTATACAGACGGAATCTGATTTGTTCAACTCCCTCATCGGCCTTTCTGATTGCAAACCCTCTCAGTTCTTTGCCTTTGCCCATATAACGTCTTTGAATACAGGAGCACAATGCTATCGCAGCACCCACAGGACTGTTAATAAGATAATTTTTGGCAAACGAGAAGGGGGAGGGGGTGATCATGGCCGGGAAATTGTTTACCAGACAGATGAGCTGATAACCGGGAGGGTTGTAACTGAGGGGGAGGGGGTTGAGCAGCTTATTGTCAGCAATTTGCGGTATACCATTCCTACGAGAATGTTTCTGCGGTATACTCCATGACTCATGAGTTTTATGGCTGACACGAAAAAAGAAGTAACGACTGCTAGTTTGCGCTGGACGTGTTCGTAGGATGGATAACGTTTGGTAGGAAAGTACGCCACGAAATTGAAGACACGACAGGTGTCAGATATTTGTTTTCAGGGAAGTGAGGGGTGATTCGTCTAAGACATTGATGTAGGGAAGCCAAACTTTAAACCCTCTTTTTAGTTGATTTTCCTAATTTAATTCCTCATGGAGTTTTTGGTTCGCTTATAAATATTAGTCATGTCATTTTGAGTCTTTTGGCCGGGTACAGAATTACCTTAAAATTGAATGAAACCTGAAACTAGGAAACTAGTAGTTTACTAAGATAGCAAAACACCAAGAAGATAATAATAAACCATAAAGGAACAAGGATGGTCAAGGATGGAGAAGATCAACACGGTTTACAAACGACGAACTTAACTGAAAAATTTACGCTAAACTTTTCAAGATGCGCAAAACTTTATTTGCACTTTTTATCCAACCATGATGTCCAAATTACATAAGCTCTCTGGAGCAGTTAGTCTTTCAGTGCTCATAGAGCGGGAATGTTGAGGAAAAATATTGTTAAAAACCAGCCTGACATAGAACTTGTTTTCACTATTGGTACAAAAGGAGGTACGAGAACAACAACAAATATACCAGAAATTAGCAGTTTAATCACCGCTTTTATTGTTTGATACAACAACAACAACAACAACAATAACAACAACGTCATCATCATCATTATCATTATCATTATGTTCTTTTCGTCAAAGTCACTACGTTTGTGAGTAAATGATAACGCCAAAACAGCGAAGAAGTTTGTCTTAAATCAGGATTGTACTTTGTACAAGGCAGGCTTCTAAACTCAGAACTACAGCTGATAATTGTTTAACATGGATTAATTTATTGTATTTTCATTTGGAATTAAACGCTGGCGTTACATATTTTGCCTGAGCAATTTCTGAGACTAATAGGCGCACTGAACAGATCTAAACAATTATGATATTCGAAGGTAAATATAAATTCATTTTTTACTAGGCCTTGTCCTCGGGTTCGCAGTCCAAAGGGTGATATTCTAGCAGGTGTCCAGAATGAAGTTGATCGTGAACCTTCATTTGATCTGGGTGAAACAGTTTTAACATCTCTTAACCGTTTGTCTAAACTTCCATTTACACAATTGATACTCCGGCAAGTTTGCACCTTCCCCGGGCCATTGTAGGTGATATGATATATCAAGTCAGCTTTAGATTAAGTTTCTATTAGTTGTAACTCACACGCTAGTGAACAAAGCAATGTCGGTGAGGACATCTAAATGTTTTCTGGGGTTATTTTAGGATTTCCCAGCCATTCTTAATTTCTTGGACATTATTGCAATGTTCACCAAGTGTAACAATTGCGATTACTAATTAAAGGCAGAAAGTAACAATAATTTCTTAGTTCACTTAAACAGTAGGGGCACGCCGATCCAGGAATTTTTGATTGCGAGTCCAAATTAAGTTTGTTCAGAACATTGTGAAAACCTTTTGGCCTTAAATCCTCAAAATACTTCTCCTCCAAACCCCACTCACGGTGGCGGTTGCACGTTGTTTAGTGACCGTCCTAATTTAACGTTTTTGTTTTTCTTCGGATTGTCTAGTTATTGTTTAGTTTTACACATCCTTCGAATTTCAATGCAGCACTTATCTACGTTACTGATACCACTTGAAACAGAACCTAAAATAAGATAAGAAACTTTATTTAAATGACAAACTAGTGATTATATCTTTGTCACCTTTACAGGCTACCTCCCTCTCCCTCGCAAGGCTCAGTGTTGCAGCTTTGTGCCTCCATGTTGTCTCCAACACAACAGTGGCCGCCATTTGCCGGAGGGGGATTGGTGCAAGTTCGTCTTCGCTCCTTTATTCCGCCTCCACACGGTACACTGCATTCGCTCCATGCTCCAAAGTCACCCCATCCGCCATGCACAGCACCTGATCTGAGACCTGAAAGACAACTGCTTAAGTGAATTGGGAAAGTTTTGTACCTCTTAATACTTTTTAAGTTTACCACAGGCCAAGTATTGCTTTTTGATTATTGCTTGATTGATTGACTGACTGACTGAACTGTCAGAACTGTCCCAGCCTGGAACGTCTTGCGTCCCCTCTCTGTCAACGCTGACTCCGATCTGTCGCCGCTTTCCACTGAAGCATTTGCAATTATTCAGTTTATTAACGCATTGTTTAATAACCCAGTTTATTGTAGTTTTAATTGTTTATTATCAGTGGTAGGCTCGTGCCAGTAGTCTGTTTATCGATTTATTTTAATCGCTGCCGTGGCCGATGTACTAGACTTGTGAGCCGTGAGTTCTATATTTTTTCCCATGCGCGCGTGAGTAGTTTCGTTTGCTATTTGTTAAGAGTCTGTCCACGAGAGGACCAGGCAGAAGTGACACGTGCCATCTCGCCGATTTCTCTCAAACTTTTACAGATGATTAAGGTCATTAAGTTATTCAAGAGTCCAAAGTAGCTCGGGCTCCCGGTCAATCCCTGG